TTGATACCTATATACAAATCATCAAAATATATTTCATTATAACCAATTATTTCGAATTTTTATTTTATAAAGCAAAAAGAGATCTGAATAATATATATGTATATATATATAATATTAAATATAATGCTTTTTTTGTTTCTGCTTTGAGTTCATTAATAAAATCATATATGAATATATTATAAAGGACGATATTCACCGAGAAGAGCATTACAATTTGGACAATAATGTTTAATATTTTGTAAATCTGATATACAAAATGGTATAAGACAACAACCAAGCCAACAACCAAATACAACTAATAAAAAACATAAAAGCCATGTTAATAATCCAGTTGTTTCTTCAATACGTGTAATAATCATTGAACGACAATTTGAACAAGTACATTGTACAGGATTTCTATTAAATGTTGCCAATGGAACAACTTGTACTCCGTAAACAACTCGATTAGGTGGATTAATTGTTTGATATTTCATTTCAGTAAATTGTCCTTGTTGAGGCATAGGATGTGTTTGTATTGATTCCGTAGGAACATATTTATTTTGAACTTCCGCTAAACAAAAAATAAATAATAATTACTTTTTTTTGTTGTTGTTATTACTACTAACATACAAATAACTTACAATATGATGGTGGTGGTGCTTGAAAATCGTCGCCCATTGATTTTGGTTTTTTGAGTTATCAAAAAAAAATCTAAAAGAGAAATATATGTTTTTGTTTTTCTCCTATGACAACAGCTGGTATGAAAGAACTTGATTATGATCATGTTAAAAAAAAAAACATTTCAATCAATATTCGTGATTCTATGAATAGAAAATGTATCAGTACTATTGTTCACATAATATTAAATAGACAGTGGAATATATATATATATATCATTCAAAACACGTACATAGATATATTCATTTTGATAAAAATAAAGAAATACGTGATGACGAAATATATTTATTTTTGCTTATAGTCACTTTTTTGAAGAATATATGAGTTAATTTTCATAGGATGAAATATTACTGATTTGATTTTGTTTTTTCGAGTATTCAAAAAATTTTATTGATTTCGTATGAATATCCGAAGGTAGAAACTTTAATAACGATTAATATATTAGATAATTTTCTTTTAATTTAACTTCATTTAATGATAGTTAATCTAATTTCTACAAAGAATCAATCAATTCTTATCATAAAAATCTTCTTTTTTTTTAAATCACTTACCAAATTATCAGAGTTATTTATTTATCGTACTTTTTTTGTAAATTTATTCTGTTAAAATACGATAATGTTTCAAGGAACTAGCATTAATAAATTTTATGACCTTTGATACTGATGTTTTGTAACGCTTTGTTCTATTTCTACGAATGAAAGAGGTTCTCTTCCTTCGTTTTCTTTTTCCCCGCATAACCATTCTAAGTCACCACTATAGACTAGGAATATTTTTCTTCTCGTCTAGTCTGACAAAGGTCGTTACTTTCTTTCTTCTCGCTCGATCTAATGGCATCGTCCTTACTTTTTTTTTTTTCTTTTTCTTTTGCATATAGATGAAAGAAGAAAGAACAAGAAAACAACATTCATTCGATACCATAGACAAAGTATTTGCTTGAAGAATAGAAAAGAAAAAAAAAAAAAGCAGAGGATCTACGGTATTATAATCGAATACTACTGACATCTTTATTCATTATTAAAAGTCAAATAAAAACTTTAAATAAATTTATATATATATTAATTTAAATTTTATTAAATATTTTTGTTTAAAAATTTCATTCATATTCATTAAAATTTTCAAGTGTTACTTTTTCCTCTATTCGGAACATTATTCATGGTTGTTGTTCGATTATAAAACGACACTACCGATTACACATACGCGTCATTACAATTCGTAACATTATATACCTCTATATAAAGAAAGTACAATATTCATCGTTCGTCTCCTATTGATTTATATTCATATAAGTAATGTTATTCCTTCTTTTTTTTTTT